CAACGCTGTAGGGCAATGAATACTAGCCAACTACACGAAATGGAGAACACAAGTGGAATGCAGCACCAGAATGGCAATCTCTGGAGATCGCTGGAAAAAGGACCACAGAAAGGCCGAACATGAGGTGGACGAACAGAATGAAGAACCCGAAGAAAAGTAAGGAGATGGAGGAACTAACAAGGGGCGTTTGGATTAAAGCTTAACAAAGGACAAAATGGAAGTAGGAAACTAAACATCTTTTAAAAATATATCGATGGAGCTACTCAAGAAGATGACTTCAGCCAGGAAGTCGTCTGTCTGCTGAAAAAAAAAACTTGGGGACGAACTTCAGGATATAAGTACAGCTAGGATAAAATGGAGGAACTCTACAGGAATTTTATGTAACAGACAAATGTCTCCACAATCAAGTCTTATGTACCGTACTGTGATCATCCAACAGTGTTTAAAAAAGTGATCATTATACATTGGGGACTTGAGAGAAAAAATCAAATAATCTGTGAAACAAAATTTCATGTGTTCGATTTGGCCAATAATTAAGAGGAAAAAACTTGGATCAAAAATCAAGAGTTTGAGATTTCAAATTACTTGAAGTTAGGATATTTCAAATATTTGAACCAACCAAAAATCAGGAATTTCGATTAGTCGAATTTTTGAAATTCGAACTGCAAATTTTGTTTGAGTGGTCAAGTAGTTATTTGATTTGGTCCAATGTGTACTGGCGATGTATATAAAACGAGGAACGTAAGCATAGTGTTATGAAGGTATGGTGGACCTTAGATATCATAGTGCTGAACTACGTAGATCGCTCTAATCTCCAAGAAGGTGCAAGAAACCGACTGCGACGGTATGTAATGTAAAGTGAGCAAACCTAGTCAAACGTACAACAATGTCTTTAGAGGCTTCTGGAAAAAGACCTTGCAAAAAACGAAGATGAGGTGGCAAAATCAGTGCTAACTTGGAGGAAACTTGGGATGGATGAATATGCCTTGAATAGTTATATAACATTTGCAGCAGAACTTGCACAAAGCGCGAAAATGACAGGAAAAAAATATATTGTCAACTATATCGTTGTGCGCAACGTAAGGAGATACCGCGCAACATTCCAGTGTAAAGCTGATAATTTCAGTTCTGAGCAGCAAAAAAAAACTCTGAGAAGACCATGACTATGACTATATCTCAGAAAATATTAAACGTGACCATCCCACAATCGTTGTCTCCGTTACAACATTTTTTTTTTTTTTTTGTAATTGAGAAACAGTTCGATTCAGAGCGGAAATTACTACCATTAGACGAATTTCATTAATAGACTCGTTCAAAGAGGTGAGATCCATTGGGGTCATTTTTTGTTGTCCAAGTGAGCGGATCTGAAGCAAAAGGATATGAGATGAGGGCCCTTAGAGCTGCGAACGGATAAGGCTCACTTCTTACCTGTAATAAAAGTGATGTTAAGGCAGTGATAAGCCGAACTGCTTGTGGATTGGATACGTTCAAGTCACGATTGCAATGTTTAAAGATCTGATTAGCATGTGAGGTACACATCCGGCGCAGTGCTTCTGGACGAGCACTAATGCTCACCTAGAAAAGTACTGTCTGGTGTGGTTGCTAGAGATTTCGTCATATTACCTCGCTGAGTTGTGGAAGCAGTTGCGAGTTATATTCTTGTATACCATTCAGGTAGATATTCACTTGTCGATTGACTGTCTCCAAATCAACAACAGTTCGTGCGTATCGTTCCTGAACACTTCAGTATTTCTTTGTTTGCGACTATCTTCTCTGAGTACTTCACAGTATGCGTCAACTTTCACACCACTAGGAATTTGATATTACACATAGATAAAAACTTAGCCAAGCAGGACAAATCTCATGATTTTCAAAATATATCAGCCTGATCCACAGAAGGCTCTCAAACATGCAATTTGTTACGTGGATTTGCAAAACTCTTACAAATGTGCAGATACCGCAAGTCTGTCAGGAGGACAGACAAGAAGGAAGTTTTTCTCTTCCCTGGCTACAAAGAAGACAGAGAAAAAATCTGCAGTGAGGGAGGAGGGGGGGAGAGGGCAAGCCAAAACTACCCAAAGGGCTTGGCTATTTTTTTCGAGTTGTGATCTGCCAATCTGGGAATAAAACGGCGTTCCTTATCCTCTCCTCCCTCTGCGTTCGTCCATACTATAGAACCCAATGTCTGTTTGCGTAGATGTGCATGTTCCGGATAGAATATACTTTTATGATATATCTTTGAGACTCTGCCCATAAACATATACTTATTTTGTTGATCCTCTGAGTGTTGTTGTATTTTTCTCAATTATAAATTGGTGGTAAACCTCGCGCAAAATCACTTAGATTCAAATAAAGATTATCAGCATTAAATTTCTGAATCATTTGGGCCAGCCGGGTAAGGCAGCTACTTTTTTATGTCAAAAAAGTATTTTCTATGCTTTTCCAAAAGAGCAGCCAAACTCAGAATTTGAATTGCAATGTGTCCTAGATCGTTGCCTAAGTTTTAAATGTTGAAATAGGTGGGCATGAGATTAAGATAAAATGCACAAATGCCTTAGCCTGGTCTGAGTAACCAGTTTGAGGTAAAGTCGCACTCCTCTTCCTAGTTTCATCTGACGATCCCTTGGTGATGCACGTGGTTTTAATATATATTCTGGACTTTTAAATGGAACAATCTGTGACAAAGATCCTCAGACTTTCGGCAGTTTGAGATATAGATTGTTTGGTAAGAACATAATTATTTCAGGATACTCTCATCTCCCGTCAAATCCCCGTAGGTGAAGGAAATGAACTCACTTGAAATATAGGTGTGTACTTATCCGTAAGTATACTTTCTCTTTCGGCTTCATTGTTCAATTCAGTCAAGGTTTTTATCAGCTTTTTCTTTATATCCAGCAGCTTTGCTACTTTCACCAGTATAACCAGCATTCGTACGGGGAAGTTCCCAACTTTTTCATCTGAAATTAAATTTCAGAAAATTGAACCCTTTAGAAATAGAAGAGCTTACGATTCACATCAGAGGATTTTCTTTGTTTTGTGGGATATGTGACGGGTACTGAATGTACATGTATATACAGAAATATTATGAGTACACAGAAAAATG